TTTTGGGCGTCACCAACACTCAATCTGCTCAGGTAAATGATTCAGAGTCCCAGGTGTTCTGGGTATTCTGTGGACCTGGGTATCCCACAGAACATAGTAGTGTGGGCCGTGAGGCTGCAGAGTTGGTGGAAAGACCATCCAGGTGGTGTTATGGGAGAGGGAAACTGTAATATGCCACCTGGAGCCTGACTGGACTATTTCTGAGACCCTTTGGGGACTTTTAGAAATACTTAGGAAGATTTTACAGAGGCCTGGGATCCTGTAACAGCAGATTTGGTAAGGTTAAATAAATTTAGGCTATTATTGGCACTGTGGCACTATTTAGAACTCCTCTAAGATTCTGTGTAGGAAACTCAGGTGTCCTAAATAATTTTCTAGCCCTTTTTTTCCCACTTATAATTTTTTACAAGTAGTTCTGCATGTCAAAGTATGACTCTCAAGACATTTTGAAAACAAACTCCACAGCAATGATTGAGTCTTATTTTATTAAGTATGCCATGGGCTTCACAAGGGTATCTCATGTCTCAACGATTCTGTAAAGGGGAGTGTTACATAGTCCTTTTGCAGATAAGAAAAAATTAGGTTCAGAGAGGTGAACTAACTTGCCTGATCTTCCCTAGCTAGTGAGTAGTGCAATCACTATCTCATTCTGAATTCCCTACTTTCTCCAGTAGTCTCATTTCAGTGCCCATAGTATTCTAATATTCTATGGAGTGGAGGAACCATAGTTTATTGGCTTTTATGCACCACAAATTATTTAATAGGCCTTCTGTAGTTGGGACATTTAGGTCAGATGAATAATAATAATAATAATAATAATAATAGTAATAATAATCTGTTATTATATATAACAATGAGGTGAATAGTGGTCCACATTGGTGCCCACTACAGGGTGGTAAGCACACAGATTTATGTAGAAAGGCCCAGCTCCCCTGTGGATTTGTGAGCTCCCTGGGGGTGGAGATGTAAGGCAATTGGCTTTAGTTAAAATGGAGATGTCCAGCTCCCATAAGAGACCTTTAGAGTTATACTATTTGAGCTTAAAACCTGGAAATTGCATTTTTGCCAAGCTACCCAGGTGATTTTTATAAACTGGACATTGGAGGAATAGGACTCTAGGCTTCTGAGCAGTGATGACATAAATTCAATAGCAGTCACCTAGTATTCCCAGAAGGACATTCATAAGTACCCTTTCCTGAAGAGTTTCACCACCTTCTTTGTGGAGAAGGACAGGTGCAAGGAAAATAGAGAAAGGAACTCCTACTGGTCTTTCTAGATGGGTGAATTTCTGTCCTATTCCAGATAGCATTAAAGGGACATAGATTCTGGTATAATTTTAATCATATTTTTTATTTATTTTTAATAGATAATTGGTGTAGCATGATATAAAATTTAAAAAGTACAAAAAGTTATACAATAAAAAGAAAGTCTTTTCCCCATGTCTATACCTTAGTTCTCCAGTTTCTGCCACCTCCAGAGGTAGCCACTATTTTTTTCTGAATTTCAAATAAAGTGGTTTAATTTCTGAAAGTGATATACATAAGCTGTCAGTTTGTGAAGGGTTGGGACCAGGGTTAAAAAAAAAACTTCTAAATTTGAGATAATTATAGATTCACAAAAATTTGAAAAAAATAGTACAAAACAGTTCTATGGAACTTTCATCTAGTTTTTTTTCAATGAATATATATATGTTTTATAGTAATAATGCACAGTAAAACAAGAAAATTGACATTGGTATTTTGCATATATATTTCCAGACTGCTTTATAATATATAGATTCTTTTTTTTGGGAAAGTATTTTTTTAATTGGTTACAACATTACAAAGCTCTTGACATATAATATTTCATACATTAGATTGAAGTGGGTTATGAACTCCCAATTTTACCCCAAATGCAGATTGCAGAATCACGTTGGTTACACATCCACAATTTTACATAATACCCTATAATATATAGATTCTTGCAAGCAACTCTACAATCAAGATACTTCATAACAATTCCATCAGCACTCCACATGCATAACTTATCACGGAATACTAGGGACATAATTTTATCAGTTCAAGTCACATGTAGAAAACTTATTTTAAATTCCGTTACCCATTCCCATATATAATACAATTGTATTAATATCTCTTCTATGTATTTTGAGAATGACATCAGTCAACATTGTGATTTTTGTCCCATCTACCAAATATAATTTAGAAAACTCAAGAGGAGAAAGGAAGGCCTTTCTATTCATATTTTTACGGTCTTTATTGGTCATCCTTTCCTCCTGACGTTCTAAGTTTCCTTCTTTTTATCATTTCTTCATTTAGAAAAGTTCTGTATTCATTCCTTTATAGTAGGTCCACCGGCTTCAAATCCTCTGAGTTCTTTTTTCTCTGAGAATGTCTTCTCTTCATCCCTAAAGGATATTTTTGTTGGACATGGGAGTCTGGGTTGATGGTAGATTTCTTCAGTGCTTGAAAAATGTTCTTTTCTTCTTTCGAGTCTTTGTGACCTCTGATGAGAACTCCTTTGTGGAAATTGTCATGTGTCTCTTGCTACTTTCAGAGATTTTTCTTTTAGTTTCCAGAGGATTGATTATGATGCTTTTGGGCTTGGATTTCTTTCAGATGATCTATTTGGGGTTTATTTAGCCGCTTCACTGTGTAAGTTTATGTCTTCTGCTAACTTTGGGAAATTTTCAGCCTTTATTGCTTAAAATTCCTATTTAGTTTTACATTTTCCCCTTTTCCTTCTTATGCTCCAATACAATGAAAGTAACAAGGATGTTAAATCTTTTGTTATAGTCTCAGGGATCTCTGAGGCTCTGTAGTTATTTTTTTCAGTCGTATTTTCTCTCCATTGTTCAGATTGGGTGATTTCCATTGCTTTACCTTCAAATTCACTGATTCTTTTCTCTGTCCTCTTTAACCTGCTGTTGAAGGTTGAAGCTCATCCAGTGACTTAAAAAACTTTGTTTATTGTATTGGATATATTAGGTCAAAAGAAAAAGGATGCCTGTGGAATTGGTATCTGTGTTCTGCCCTGGGTCCCAAGGTCTCTAGCCAGCCTGCTTTCTTCTTTCCACCTTCCAGAGTCTTCCTGTTTTTTTTCTTAATAGATAATATCTAGAATTTTTAGTTGCCTTTAGTGGAAATGTCTAAACACCAATACATCCTTTCCATATCCTCCCAGGAATGGAAGAGATCAAGCATTTATATTGGTTTAGACTCAAATCTGCAGGTGGGAGCCAGGGAAAGATTATTAATGAAAACAAAGTAATTGATTGCTTTAAATTTTTCTTTAAAATTTTTAAATTTAAAATAAATTTTAAAAAAATTTTCCTAAATCCATACTTCTTAACTTCACATGCCTACTTCAATTATGTCTGTAGATGCTGAGTTTGGGGTCCTAGTAAGTAGATCCAGGAGCTAGGACAGGGTGGCAGATGTGATTATGAAGGGGCCAGACCCAACACTGAGAACTTTAAACTTCTGGCTTTAGGGGAAAAAAAGGTAGTTAATACACAATGATTAAAATTAGATGATTTTTGTCCAAAACATACAGGAGGTGTGGGGTAGAATAGTAAAGAATTTACTAGAATGTGCACCCTACTGAGGCAGGGCAGAATTCCAGAGTGCAGAGCTGGGTAGAGGACAAACAGAGGATAGAGACTCATGAAGTGGGGTCTCCCCTGAGGCTCACCCCTAAGGGCTGCCTCCAGCTCACCTCTACCTGCTGCCAGGCAGGAGGCTCCAGCAACCAGCAGGGAAGTGTCTCTAGTTAGTTGAAGGTATATTTGCTGCCTATCTACTATGTTCACAAGCCTGTAGAAAAACTCCTGAGATTTTTTGTCTCAACTGCAAATTGGCACAGCCAATATGGAAAGTGTTACGGAGATTCCTTGGAAATCTGGGAATGGAAACACCATTTGACCCAGCTATCCCTCTCCTCCGTCTATACCCAAAGGACTTAAAAATCAGCATACTATAGGGACACAGCCACATCAATATTTATAGCAGCACAATTCACAATAGCTAAACAACGGAATTTTATTCAGCAATAAAAGAGAATAAAATCATGGCATTTGCAGATAAATGGATGGCATTGGAGAAGATAATGCTAAGTGAACTTAGCCAATCCCCCCTCCCCCCCCAAAAAAAAAAACAAATGCCGAATGTTTTCTCTGAGAAAAGGAGGCTGATTCATAGTGGGGTAGGGAGGGGGAACATAGGAGGAATAGAGGAACTCTAGATAGGACAGAGGGGTGAGAGGGAAAGGGAGGAGGCAAGGGGTAAGCAAGGATGGTGGAATGTGATGGACATCATTATCCAAAGTACATGTATGAAGACACAAGTTGGTGTCAACATACTTTATATACAACCAGAGATATGAAAAATTGTGCTGTATATGTGTAATAAAGAATTGTAATGCATTCTGCTGTCATTTATTTAAAAAAATAAAAATTTTATCCCACAATAAATTCTATATCTTGAAAAATAAAATAAAAATATGAATGCAAAGAGAAAAAAAAACCCAACAACAGTATACAGTCCAACTTCCCACTTTGCAGATTCCTTTTCCATCCTATTTATCCCCTTTGATACCCACAGGACCAGACCTTAAAGATTCTAGCAAAGAACTTCCTAGGTCACTTTGCTAAGGAGAGAGAATAGTAAAACCAAACACAGACAGATAAAGATTAGCCTCTCACCCCAGCAGCCTGAGCTTGTGCCAGGAAAGTGCAATCACCTCACTTCTGAAGCAGATAAAGGTGTGCCTAGGTCACCTACCAGTCACTGGGCAACTGCCGTGACACACTCCTCACACCTGACACTGCTCAGGGGAAAGCCAGGCAGCTTGTGACAGTTTTCCCAGCCAGAGAAAATCTGGCTCAGCAGGCAGGTTGCCATTCGAGCAGTCACCAGAGACAAAGCTTGGTGCATTAGGATCCTTAGCTCCACTGGGCAGTGACTGCTCAGCCCTGCAGGGAGTGGAAGAGCCACAGGCACAAGATGATCCTCAGGAGAAACTGCCCCAAAGGCTTCTGCACTGGGCTGATTCTGGTCATTGCTGTCAACATCCTTCTGGTATTTTATACCAAGGAGACTTTACAAAACTTGATTCTGGGGCATCTACACAAGGAGTTTCATTTGCCCCCACCAGAGTGGGACGGAGCCATGATCAAGAGACTCTCTCGCTTGGAAATGGATCTGCAGCATCTGAGTAAGTTCAGCATGCTAATTTGGAGGGGATGTGTGTGTGTGTGTGTGTGTGTGTGTGTGTGTGTGTGTGGTGCATGCAAATATGTGTGGGTGTGAGCATGCATGTGAGTGTATACTTAGGGACACTTAGTAAAAAATAGGGTGTGGAGGAAAATGGGTGAGAAACCACATTCTCATCTCTCATTTGCCCTTTCAGGCATCAGAGTCTGATGGGATGCATTGAGAAATAGGTGGTAGGAGTGGGAGTTTAGAGAAGATGATTTGAGGGAGGAGAGCAGAGTATGTATGGAAGTGGGGTGTGTGTATATATTTGTGCATATGCATGATCACATCTGCATACATGCAGGCAGAGAGACTGCAGCTCAGAATAAGGACCCCAAAAGACTCAGAAATCTAGGAGTCTAGGCTCAAGAATCAGCCCTATCTTTAGGCCTATGTGTGACAGGGCTGTTAATGAGAGGTGGCTGTGTCTAGGGTAAAGGGTGCTTCCAATTTCCTGGGAGCTCCTATCATGAATGCATGGAGGCATTGTTAGAGGGCCAAAGGTCAAATCTTGATATGGCTGCTATGGTGGTGTGACTTTGAGTAAGTGCTTATCTCTCTCAGCCTCAGACTTTGAATCTGTACATGGAGACAATGATAATGAAAACGATAATGATAGAGAGCTGCCTGACTTCACAGGGTTGGGAACATGCAGAAAGTGATATATGTCCAGTTTTAACCTCTTCATTTAACGTTCTGGGTAGGATCCCAACACATCCTGGGCTTGGTTTGTAAGACTGGCTAACTCCTTTGAATTCTATGTACCTGTGCATCTGACTTCAGTGAGAGAAGTGACAATTTTCCCTGCTCCCCAGGTAACAGAGATCAAGGGCTTGAACCCTTAAGGGAGGCGTTGAATGTGTGAGCAGGGATGCATTTGGTATTGGAGCTGGTCAAGGTCTTTTTAAATGGGAAATGAATATTACCAAGGCTCAGGCAGAGGGACGGAAGGAGGAAAGACAGGAAGAGAAAAAGAAAGGGAGGGAATAAATCAGGGAAAGTCAGAGAGAGGGAAGTGGGGCAAGACAGGAGAAAAGTGATGAGGATGGAAGAGAAGGAAAAAAGAAGTGGGAATTAGGGAGAGAGGTTGAGAACTTGTGGAGACAAGAGGAAAAAAGGGAAAGTGAGAAGGGAAGGGGTGGGGGAGAGGATAAAAGAAGGTGGGGCACGAAACACCCACAGCGCCCTCCACACCCTGTTTACACTCAGTACATTTTGCTGTGATGCAATTTTCTGGAAAGCAGGTCCCGTGGGGGTCATTCCATGGATGTAGCTGTGCAGTCCCCATTCATTTCTATTCACACATGGAAATTACCTCAATGAATAAGTGAACAAGTGAGTTTAAGCAGGAGAGAGAAGAGTACAGGTGGACAGGGATGAAGGGAAGAGTGAGACAGGCTAGAGTGTGGGTGAAACAGAGGGAAGACTGTTGGTTCAGAAGCCCTGGCTTCCCCAGTTGGGTGGAACACTGCACGTGCCAATCTATGCAGCAGGCTTCACTAGGAGCTTGTAGACCCAGGCTGGTGACCCCGGAGCCACTGCCACTCCTTGTAGGAGAACCTAGACCACACCAGCACTCTCCCATGTGACCCTTCGTTCCTTCTACTGCAGCCGCCCCCTTCCCCTGAACCTTAGCATGGCAGGAGTCTTTCCTCAGCAGAGACATGACATGCCCTGAGGAGCCATCCAGAGCCACCAACTTACTTTCTTTTATTTGTTTGCAATGATCACTTCTATCTTTCTATCTCATCTTGTTGATGCCATGATTTTTTTTCAGTCTAAAGTGACCGTAGGGTCAGAGACCCTTCCCAGCAGAGCTGAACCTTCCAGTGTCTTCTGGGACCTGTTTCCAGATCACAAATGCTCTTCTGTCCCACAGTTCATCCTGTAATGGAAAATCTTTAAGAAGGGAGGCCCAGTTGGAAGCTTCCAGTCATGTGGGGCTGTGCCCTCAAGCGAGGTACTGAGACCCTGACCCCTCCCCATGCCCTCTCTCTGTTCACTTACCAGCTGCCATGATCTGAGTAGCTCCCTCCACTGTACCCTCCCCTGCCTCACCCTAGGCCCCAAAGCAACAGGCCAAGTAACCATGGACTGAAACCTCCAAAACTGTGAGCCAAAATGAAACTTTTCTCTTTATGAACTCATTATCTAATAATCTCTTTATCAATTAATTCTTTTATCTTTATAAACTAATTATTTGTCACAGGAATGGCAAGTTAACACATGCTCCAGATTTTAAATTTACAGCTCTTGCCTAACATCCTGGTTGCTCACTGCCTTCAGGGCTCCGGAAAGATTGAAGAAAACCATAAGTCAATAGGAACATTTAGGTAGATCTTCAATTAGGTAAGTCATCAAGAGTAAAAGCAAACACATGATGATAATCATATCCCTGTTGGCAGAGGGACAAGTGACTCTAAACCAGTTTGTTGGACCCTTTCTTGGGGCTCTTAAAAGCCCCACCAGAGCAATATCATTGGGTGTGTCTCCATTTTCATGTCAATCATAGGAATGGTCTAGTGGCACTATATTCATCTTGCCGGAATGTCCGCAATTTTCAAATTGACGCTAGACTTTCAGTTCCCACTGACAGTAGTGAATGAAAGAAAAAAAATCAGGTGTCACCCCAAAGAGGAAAGTAGGGGAGTTTCGTTTGAGGCAAGAAGAACTCAGTACCACCCTGTGACCCCTATGTGCTTAACACAGAAATGTATGAATAATAATACTACTCAATTGGAACACTTGAAACATTATGCTTTTATTTCCCACCTGAGCAAATATTCATGGTATTTCCACAGCTCTTCTTTGGCAGACCTTGCCATTTAGATCTCTTCCCAAGTTTGTTTCAACCATTCTCTATTTGCCTTGGGCACTTTAATTGATTCTTCTTCTCCTTTTCCTTTCTCCAGGGCCAAACTTCTGTCATCTTCTTAAACATTTTCTTCCCAGTTTTGGACTTCCCTGTTTTCCCTTGGAAGGGCTATAGATGGATCTGAAATACAGCCCAAATCTTGTCACTAAGCCTTGTTCTGCGGCATGGGATTGCGTTTACCCAGAAAAATTTCACACAGTGGAACCATCCTGGTGACCCTGGGTAGCAATTATTCAGGAAAAGAGGGCATTCCCTTCTAATGTTCAGAAAGATGCTGGATAGGCTGAAGTTAATCCCTCGGTCTGGTTGAAATTTAATGGGGGGTTTAGGGGAGGATTAGTGGGAGCTAAGTGGTGCTATAGCCAAGACCTTTGGTTACTCGATGTTTAATGCCCAGGAGTGTCACAATCACTAAGCAGTGGACTCATTACTTTTGCACTCTTTTTCTGCTGCATTTGTAGATTGAGCTCAAGGTACATATATGTTCAGACTCTCCAGCACAAATCTTATAGGGTTGTTATAAAGGAGAGATAAATGATGGATGGGAAAGAGCTTTGAAGTTTGTAGGCCATTTTCCAAACACAAAGCATCATTTTTACTATTGGTACTATAGATCCTGAAAGACCTCTTCTGTATGAGAAGTCCTCTGCCTGGGTCTGTCACTCTGTTTGTTCTTTTGAGTTAAGTCTGTGTTCCTCAAATGAATATGAACATTAGTGTTATCTGGAGTAAGCATCTTCAGGGAAGTCCTGGGATTCTGTATTTTTTAACAAGCTGTTGAAGTCTTTCCTGTGGCCAACCACATTGGACATTTCTTGCCTAAAAGTTCTTGGTGAATCAAATGAGAAGGGAAAGGGGAGGTGGACTATGGTGGTGCTGGTTAGAGTAGATTTGCCTTTGTCAGCTACTAGAAGTGTAGTATAATGTGACTCCACATTTCACTGTACAGAGGAATTACTTCTTGATTTTGTTAAAATGCAAACTCTGGTAACTTCCCCTGGCCCCAAGATTCCGATTTAGTAGATTTGAACACAGGCTTGGATATCTACTTTTAAAAATAATCACAGTTGATGATTCTGATGTAAATGTTTCTTAGGCTTAATTCTGATAATACATTATTTGATTATCTATTTATTTCTCAGGTCAATGGCAGCAATTCGAGTAGCCTTAAATGGACAGACAAGTTTTGTTGAAGCTACAGAGAGAGATGGACCTAGCGTGTGCTTTGCCAGGACAGCCTTGCACGGCCCTGACAAGTTCACTTGACCCATCACATTCTCTGGGACAAGAGCCATAAATTAAAAATCTGCAGAGTGTGTTAGTTTGCCATTCCTGTGAGAGAAGAAGAGAGAGAGAGAGACGGGGGTGGGGTGGGGTGGGAGTGTCAGGGTCTCAGTATCCCCCTTGAAGGCACAGCCCCACATGACTGGAAGCTTCCACCTGGGCCTCACTTCTTAAAGGCTCCACCAAGCCGCTACACACAGGTTGTTTGGCTTATTTAGGATCCAAATTTATAGCAAAGAGAAAACCGTTTTACATAAATTAGGAAGGAAAGCAATGCCCAGATAATTAGGATCTAGTAAACTGTTTTATCTGCACTGTCCTACCCCGTCCTCTTCATCTGCAGAAGATGGTATGCAACTGGTTATGAAGCAACAAGAAAACAAGGACCACACACAAAAGAGGATAGAAGATGAAGTTCACCCTGCTCGAAAGGCAGTGGAAACCCCTGAGAGGGAGACACAGAAGCAGCAGAACAGACCCCCAAAGAAACTCTTCCCGAACTCGCCGCTCTTCAAGCAGTGGGGTGACAAGCTTTCTGAAGCCCAGCAGAAAGAGGCCGAGGACCTGTTCCAGAAGTTTGGTTACAACGCCTACCTCAGCAACCAGTTGCCTCACAATCGCACCCTCATGGACACACGAGATTTCAGGTGGGAAGGATGAGGGTTGGTGGGAGGTTCTAGGGACCTCGGTCTGATTTGGTCTGAGTTTTGGAAGCCATAAAAGTCCAGGGTTGGAAAGAGGGTTGGGGGAGTGAGGGATTGCTGGAGAAGGGGATAAGGAGAGTTCTTGTTTTTAATCCCTTTTGCAACAGCAGCTTGGTGAACATTGGAGATGAACAGAGGTATCAGAGAAATGGTGATCCTTGGGAATTCTGATACAATGGGTCTAACCAATGATTTTACAGATGAGGATGCCAGGGCTGAACAAAGACTTGTGCACGTCACCCCAAAGTTAGCAGCTCTATTTCCTCCTTTCGTACTTTCCTCCAATTCTCTGCTTGAATTCTTTGTTTTTAAATATAATTTTTAGAGACTTTCTGTTTTTATTCCTCATTGTTTTTTCTTCTTTTCTGCCTTGCCCATCTTTCTTCATATTTTTTTTTTTAAAAGTAACATCTTTGTTGAGGCACGATTCATATACCATCCAATTCACCCATTTGAAGTATGCAATTTAAGTGATTTTAGTATGTTCAGAGTTGTGCACCATCCCCACAATCAATTTTAAATCTTTTTCTTCACTAAAAAAAAGAAACCCCGTATCAGTGTCAGCCACTTTCCATTTCTCCACAACTTCTTACTCCCCTGGAGAGCATTAAAGTACTTTCTGTCTCTATGAATTTGCCTATTCTGGATCTTTCTCGTAAATGGGATCATATAATATAGGGTCTTTTGTGACTGTTTTTTAAAAAACTATCATCATATTTTCAAGTGTTACAGCATGTATTGATACTTCATTCCTTTTTTAAATAGAACTAACAAAAATTGTATATTTTTATTGGTTCTGTTTAAATATCAATGACAACAGAATCCATTTTGATATAATTATACAAGCATGGAATACATCTTATTCTAGTTAGGATCCCATTCTCATGATACATGATCATGGGATTCACTGTGTTGTTTTCATATACATACAAAAAATTATGGGAAATTACATGAGATTCATTCTACTGCCTTTCCCTCTTGTATCCCCTCACCTTTCCCTCCATTCTCCACTGTCTAATCTACTGAACTTCTATCTCCCCCTCACCTCCCCCCTATTGTGGATTAGCTTCCACATATCAGACAAAACATTTAACCTTTGTTTTTTTTTGGGGGGGGGATCAGTTATTTCACTTAGCTTGATAGTCTCCAGATCCATCCATTTGTTGGCAAATATCATAAAGTCATTCTTTTTTATGGCTGATTAATACTCTATTAATATTTCAACATTTTCTTTACCCATTCATCTGTTTAAGGGCAACTAGGTTGGATATTTTATATTTTAACTATGACTTTGAAATATAATTTATTAGTATGTTAAGTAAAACTGTATACATTATATTAACTTTACTATCTTGATTAACTAGAATAACTTCTTGTGGTTGCACATGATGTGAAGTTACACTAGTGGTGTCTTCATATATGAACATAGGAAAGCTATATCTGATTAATTCTACTGTTTTTCCTATTCACATTTCCCCTCCCTTCCTTCTATTCTCCCCTGTCCAAGTCTGTAAACCTCCACTCCTCCCTTTGCCCAGCTTATTGTGAGTCAGCATCTACATAATCAGAGAGAACATTGATCTTTGGTTTTTTTGGGATTGGCTTATTTCACTTAACATGATATTGTCGAATGAGGTTACTTTGTCTGAAGTACCATATTTTATTTATTCATCAGTTGATACACATTGTATTGTTTCTACTTTGGACTATTATGAATAGTGTTGCTATGAAAACATCGAGTATTTGTATTGACCAATAACTTTGTGTTTCTTGGGTGCAGTCTAAAAGTTGAATTCGTGGGTCATATGATAATCACATTAAACTGTCAGACTATTTTCCAAAGTGACTGCATGATTTTATATTCCAACCATCCATGTATAAGAGTCTTGATTTTTCCACATTATCACCCACATTTGTTATTATTTGTGTCTCTTTCTTTCTTTCTTTCTTTCTTTCTTTNTTTTTTTTTTTTTTTTTTAGTATCATGGATTGAACTCAGGGGCACTGGACAACTGAACCACATCCCCAGCCCTGTTTTGTATTTTATTTAGAGACAGGGTCTCATTGAGTTGCTTAGTGCCTTGCTTTTGCTGAGACTGGTTTTGAACTCTTGATCCTTCTGCCTCAGCCTCCTGAGCCGCTGAAATTACAGGCATGTGCTGCCACATCTGGCATTATTTGTGTTAAATTTTAGTTAGTCATTCTGATGAGTGTGAAATGATATCACATTGTGATTTTGTTTTCAATTTCTTGAAGGCCTAATGATGATGGACATCTTTTCATGTGTTTATTTACCATTTGTATGTTTTCCTTGGAGAAATTCAGAGATGCCTCCTTTTCAAAATTGGTTTATTTGCCATTATTCATTATATATCCTAAATATAAATTCCTATTAGAAACATGCAAATATTTTCTCCTAGTATGTGGGTTGTCTATTCACTGTCCTGGTGGTCTTCTTTGAGGCACAAATGTTTTAAATTTTGATGATGTCCAATTTATCCATTTTCTCTTTGGTTGCTTGTATTTTCGGTGTCATATATAAGAGACTATTGCTGAAGGCAAGGTAACGAAGATTTAAACCTACGTTTTCTTCCTAGAGTTCTGTAGTTTCAGTTTTAAAATTTGGGGGCCATTTTATGTGAATTTTTATATTCAGCAATGTGTATGTGGTATAGGAATCCAACTTTATTCTTTTGGATGTGGTCTGGTCATTATCCTGCTGTCCCACCACCCTCCAGTGAAGAGATAAGTTTTGCCACATGTGTTCTCTTGGTACTTTTGTTGAAATCAATTGGGCAGAATCACAAAGGTTTGTTTCTAGGTATCAATTCTCTTTGCCTCATGTTTACTTGACCCTTATGATAAATGACAGACCACTGTGGTAACACTGGTTTTGTGGCAAGTTTCAAAGTGTAATAAAGTGAGTTTTCAACATTTCTTCTTTTTTAAGATTGTTTTGTCTATTTAGGTACATGAATTTCTATGAATTTTAGGATTCACTTATTAATTTCTGAAAAAAAACCATCAGGATTTTGATAGGGATTGCCTTGAATCAGTAGATCAATTTATAGAATATCTTAACCAATATTCCAGTTCATGATCATGGGAAATATTTCCATTTATTTAGGTCTTTTAAAATTTCTTTCAACAATGTTTTGAGTTTTCAAAATATGAGTTTTGCATTTCTTTTGATTGTATATCACCTTTTAAGAAGTGTCCGTCCATTCAGCTCCTTAGTCCATTTATTGATTGGGTTGTTTTTTTTTTTTTTGGTGTTAAGTTTTTTGAATTCTTTATATATCCTGAAGATTAGTGCTCTATCAGATGTGCATATGGCAAAAAAATTTGCTTATATGTTTATAATATCCAATCCCTTCCCCTACTGCCTTCCCCCCTTTGCTATAATTTCCACATATGAGAGAAAACATTCAACCCTTGATATTCTGAGTCTGGCTTATTTCACTTAGCATGATGTTCTTCATATCTGTTCATTTACCAGCAAATGCCAATATTTAGTTCTTTTTAAGGCTGAGTAAAACTCCATTGTGTATATATATCACATGTTCTTGATCCATTCATCTATTGAGGGGCATTTGGACTGATTCCATAATTTGTCTACTGTGAATTAGGCTTCTATAAACACTGAAGGGACTGTGTCACTAGAGTATGCTGATTTTAGTTCCTTGGGATAAATACAAATGAGTGGGATAGCTGGGTCATATGGTGGTTCCATTCTTAGTTTTTGAGGAATCTGGTAGATTGTTTTTTCAATTTCTTTTTCAATCTGTTCATTGTAAGCCTGTAAAAACACAATTGATTTTTGTACAACCTCACTGAACTAATGTATTTTAATAGCTTTTTAGTGGGTTTTAAGGGCTTTTCTATATATAAAATTATGCCATCTGCAAAAAAGATAGTTGTATTTCTTCCTTTCCCACATAAAGCCTTTCATTTCATTTTCCTTCTAATTGCCTGGTTGGAACCTCTATTGTGAAGCTGAACATAATTAGTGAGAAGTGATTTCCTTGTATTATTCATCATTATGGGCGGGAAAGCACTATTTCACAAAAAGCTGTGGGTTTTTTTATACATGCCTCTTACTAGAAATTTCATTCTATGACTAGTTTGTTTAGTGTTTTCTCTCTCTTTTACCATAAAGGAGCATTAAATTTTGTGTCTTTTTATGTGTCTATTAAGATGTCCGTGAGGTTTTTGTTCACTAGCTATTCATATGATCTATTACATTAAAATTTATTTATATGGTTTTAGGATGTCAAACCAATTTCAAATTCTTGGCATTAAATCCCATGTGGTCACAGTGTATAATCTTTTCTCCATGTTGCTGAATTTGGTTTGCTCCTATTTTAAAAACATTTTTTTTTGGTGTGTGTCTGTATTCATAAGACACACTGGTTTTTAATTTTGTTTATTCAGGATATTTTTTATCTGATTTTGGTATCTGGATAAGACAGGTCTCATAATTTGGAAGTTTTTCTTCCTCTTCTATGTTTTGGAGGAGTAAAAGCATCTGGACCTGGTTCTTTTGTAATGAGCAATTTTTATTTTATTTTATTTTTTTGGCGGGATGGGGTAGTACTGGAGATGGAACCCAGGGCTTCTTGCATGCCAGGCAAGCACTTTCCCACTGAGCAACATCTCCAGCCTTATAGTGAGTAATATTTTTATTAGTAATTTAATCTCTTTGCCTGATGTGGTTCTATGAAGATTTCTAGTTCTTTTTGAGCTAGTTTTCTGTCTTTCCAGTAACTTTTCCATTTCATTTAAGTTACCTAATTTGTTGGCAGACAGTTGTTTAAAGTATTCTTTTATAATCTTTTAAATATCTGTAAGGAGTATGATGATGGACCAATTTTATTACTATTTTGGTAATTTGAGGATTTTTAATTTTTGTCTTATCAGTCTTGCTAATGAGTGAAAATTTT